TATTGAAACTATACGAGGAGAAGTGGGGGGCATGGGAAAACTGTCTGTTGGTTGAGGGCAAAGCACTTGAAAATGAAATGTGTATAAATGTCTATTCATGTGACGAGTCTTTAACGATGACAAACTCAAATACAGTGGATATTGGCTAGGAGAATGTAATTTAAAATCTAGAACATTAGGCTTTAATATCTGTAATGCTATCTATATTCTAAAGAGATGAACCCATTGAACTCAATTTTGAGTTAAATCGCGCTACCTTTGCAATTATAACTCACAGGTGATTTTTTTGTTTGGCCGTGCAAAAATACACTTTTTTTCAAGCAAACGTCTTTGTTTGTATTTGTGATTATATTGCGCGGGCTAAACGAAATATTTATTGATAACTTACGCGAATTGTTGGTGCTGTGGCTGCGGCAGCGGTGTTGCGATGGTTTCACTGCTCGACATTCTGCGAAATATACACAGCCATTAAAGATACATATATGCTATATATAATGAGCAAACAAAGAATTGGTACAAACTGGTTTGTTTATAATTTGTAACAAAGTACAGAAATAGATAATTATATTGCATATATTTTATTATTCCCACTGCATTTGTATAAAAGGTATTTTATTTGTTTATAATTTGTAACAATAGTACAAAAATAGATAGTTTTATAAATATGGCACTGTATAGTATATATTTTATTATTCGCATAAACAATTCAAACAAGTATTAATCTTTATCCCAAGCAACTGAAATATCTGGATAAATTCAATATACGTACATACATATATGATATATATAAATATATATTTAAAAAGTTCATTTTAAACAAACACTACACTTTTTGATTGTCGGGGGTATAGAGATACCCAATAAAGATTGGGGATATACATATGCATGTATCTACATATATAATTTATTGCTCACTAAAGTAAACGAACAATAACCAAACCATTATTGTTTATACTCATGTAAGTTAAGCAACTGATAATGCAGTTGACTGTGTACCATATACTTAATATATGTGGGTGATAAGCAGGGAATGTGGGATCCAAAGTTTATTGACATGATCGACGGACCCCACGGAGATTAGCAGCCAATCGATGGGCGCCATTAGTGCTACTCGCGAACAAATGTTAAATTACTTAGCACAATTACACACAGAGGTGCGAATCGGAAAAGTTTATCATACTTCGGTGGCTATCTGCTCAGCGCTCAAGGCCGAATAACGGGTTATCCACGCTGCGCAGACGATAAGAACGTCTGAACTTGTTATCATTTCTGGTTTTTGGTGGAGTAACTCAAGCATAAAGATATCAAGTTGAAGGAACCCTCAAGCATAAAGATATCAGGTTAAAGGAAACCGATTGGGGTGAGATAATAGTTTATAACTGAAGTTATAAAATAAGCGTAGATTGCAGCAACGAACGTGAAATGGCTGCCCAGTTATTGATTATTGCCGAAATGTTTGGGAACTCGGGGAGGGAGGCTCGCCGTTTGATGTCGACGTTTTCTTTGCACTGCGCTCCGCATGGTTCACCTGTCGGCCAGGTGAGATACACCTCCTCGTTAGTGGAACACTATAACTGTTATTGGAGGCACACTTATTCCAGAGTGGATGCACTGGAACAGCAACCACTTGTGCGGACTTTACGTAATGCGTGGTGTTTACCACTATCATCGAGCACCTTTATTAAATTAGTTTGATCGCCGCACTCTCTTGCTGCGAATCTCTCGCAAATGTTTAAATAAATTCAACCTCCCCGAACCCCTCACAAAAAATGAGAGCGAATCAATTGTAGGCGCGATATTGAACTCACTTTTCTTTAGTTGCTGAGAAGCTCGGTTAATTGACTTTGGTTACTTTAAACTTAACGGCTGCTGCGGACAAGCAACACTTATTTGCGGCTAATTAAGCTAAATTAAAACTATTTATTGATATTCTCTTCGCGCGTCGCCGTCGTTTGTGGTCAGCGGAGTGACCGTTTCGGCACCTTTGAAATATATCTTCGGCTCAAATCGGCTATCGCCAATTGCCAAGCCCCATGTCCGCTGGTCACACTTACATATCTAAGCTCTAAAAAGTATATGAAAAGAGTTATTCAAGATTTCATATTACAAAAGAGATTACACAATTTTTGAAATCTTGACAAGTAATAATAAAAAATAGCTTTGTAAGGGGAGAGCCATTAAAAATAAAATGGAATAACCAGAACATCGGTTACTTGAGAAACTGAATTCATCGATAGCCTTCGCAACTATCTGCCATACCGATACCATCGTACCAGCTCTAAAGCAAAACAAGAAGAAAAACCATTCTTTTTCTGCAAAAGAAATAGGTGCAATTTGGTCATTTACTAGCTTAAATCTAGTGTAAAATGAGTTCGGCCCGCTTCGCGCGCTCCGGGCGCGTCCGCATCTGCATCCTGATGAGCATGTTCATCGTGCTGATCATGATGATAGTGATCTACCAAATGTCCCAACACCAATTGGACGAGAGCCGCGCCTTCCAAGAGGGCCTCAGTGTCCAGATGCAATGTGGGTCTATTGTTATAATCCTGCGTTGGCCGTAAACTCACTGATTATTCACAGCACTCAATGCCGAAAAACTGACCGCCGAGAAGAGGATGAGCGCACTGCGCTCGGAGAAGATGAGCCTGCAGGAGCAGTACGAGGGCCAGTTGGCGGAGGCAGTGCAGAAGCAGCAGGATACGGAACACGCACTTCAGGAGAAGTTTGACGCCCAGGTGGAGAAGTACAAGCTGCTGGAGGTGAAGTACTCCGACCTGGAGGCTGAGTGCCTCAAGAGCAAGAAGAAACACATCGAGGACACAAATGCGTTCGACCAAAAGCTGCAAAAGGTCCTGGCTGACCTTCATAAGGACAAGGCCAGCAAGGAGCGCGAAGTGGCTGCCTGGAAGGTAAACTTTTCTATTGCATCCTGTTAAATTTGTTAACTATACATACTTATCGCCAGGAAAAGCTGGACAAGCTGCAGCGCGATAAAGAGCACAAGATTCACGCTCTGGAGGCCACAATTGCGGAATTCAAGACCAACTGCAACTACGTACCTAAAGTCCAGCCCGCCGAGGCCCCGGTCCATGGCCACCAGCAGCAACTGAATAAGCCCGCCGAGCAGATGCCCACTACGCACCACTCCAATTCCGCCCAGCCAGCGCACAGCATTGAAAAGCCGCGCAACGAGAAGTCCTTCGATGCCCAAGTGCAAGTGAGTGAAGGCCTCTACAGGATTGGCGGCGGGGTAAATCTGCTAGCAACTAACCCAAACCAAAACCTAACGACCGCGTCTACTAATTCTACAATTAAGAGTAATAGTGACGGAACCCAGGAGCAGCCGCAGCACCTGCCTCTGCTGCCCTTTGCCGTGCGCAACAACCACAGCCTCATACTAACCTCTGTTGAAAACTTTCAGATTGTGCCCAAATCGGTCAGTGAGAAGCAGCAGCAGGAGGAGCCGCAACTGTCCGGTGGTCCAGTTTCTCCGCTGAGTGCTCCCCGCAAGAGCAGCACCCAAGCTTCAGTGGGCAGCGCGTCCGACAAGAAAGCCGGCGATGCCCCAAACGCATCTGTAGCCCCAAAGGTCAGTAGCAGCGGTCTTCCACCGCTTGCAGTGCCACCAGCCAAGTCAGAGCGCAAGCTTCCAGAAAACGTGGCTCCCATTCCCGAGAACTTTGAAGACAAAGCAGATACTAAGGGCGACGCAGTCGATGTAGACACCGCCGCCGAGGAGCTGCCGAAGAACGAGAACAACAATCGTTACGCCAATGCCGTAAATGATATGGAGGGCAACAAAAATGTAGGTGTGGCACCCAAACCCATCGAGGATTCGGGTGCCCACGAAGTTAAGGACGCGTTGAACGAGCCCAGCTTTAATTTGCCCGCCGCTGGTGGCGGCCCGAATTTCTTCGATGGTGAATTGCCGGCTCCTGGTCCCGGTCCCGTTCCCGATGATACGGCCAAACAGATGGCGGAGGCAGCCGGTGCCGGCGGAGGCGGCGATGGAGATGACGACGACGATGTAGGTGATGTGGCCGTGAAGCAGCCACAGCATCTGCTGGACACAGACAATCTAAACAACGAAATCGTAGCTGACCAGGGTAAGGAGTTCGCCGAAGGCATCCACCTGGAAGATGGCATGGATGAAGATCAAGATGGTGAGTAGTAATACTCATAAAACGGAATGCTCGAAATAAACACTTTACTTAAATTGTAGAGGATGACTACTCCAATGTTGCAGCGCGCAACAAGGGAGATAAGGTTATTAGACCCTAAGAGAATTTTCTATTGACAATGAGCGGCATGTGTGCAAAGGCTTAGAAAACCCTTTATATTAAAGCCGTGCTCGGTAAGCCATAGATTTAAGGATTAATCATAATGAAATTCCGCAAACCAAACATTCAAATTGTATGGTAATTGGAGATTATAAATCGAAATCTATCCTGGCTTGAGCACGCCCTAAGCTACTTAGTTTGTAAGTTAAGTTCAACGTCATGACTACCATCATTTCGTTAATAGTAAATGAAAAACAAGAAATTTAAACTCGCAGGAAATACAATACTCTTAGATGGAGCTACGAACAAAAGCAGCTAAGAGCGGTTAAAAATGAAGACTGTTTCGGTTCAGCCTTACAAATTCTATGTCGCAAACTAGCAATAATCGATATCGTTGCTAAATCGACAACCATTTCATTGACAAATGAGACCATCTTAACAATATACTCTAGCTACATATTTGCATCTGCGTACAATATTTCTTTGTACTTGGTTTTCTGTGATAAAAATAACTCGCTGCACTGCATTTGGGCAATGTTGCCTGTTTTTTTGTCGCTGCCTCCACGTTTCACTTCTGCATTTGCAATTTCGTCAACTCATTTCGCTAGAGATTAGGTAGCCACATAAGTTGGGAATGTACACTAGCATTCGAAAACACACACACAAACTTTATTGGTAAAGATAATAATAAACTTAATTGATAAATGTTAATTTCTCGAATCTCTACTCTATAAATGAAAATTTATGATGCCATAATTAAATTACGTGGCGCGCCCTAACTAAAGATGTAATTAAAAGGAATTAACTCAGAATGAAACAAGCATGGGGTTCACTGCGTGTGCGCCAGGATCCAAGGGTGCACCATCACCTGATCCAGCGGTAGGCGGTGCTGCGGATTAAGGACCAGCAGCTTGGAAATGAGATGTGAAGCCGCCTTGGAAATGTGCTCCGGCAATTTGTAGTCCACCTTGAGTATCTTCTTGTAGGTCTCGTCGTAGTTCTTCGAGTAGAAGGGAGCGTGGCCCACCAACAGCTCAAAGCAGAGCACACCCAGGCTCCAAAGATCGACGTTTTTCGTGTGCGGCTTGCCCTGCACCATTTCGGGTGGCAAATAGTCGACAGTGCCGCACAGTGTCATGCGCATGGAATTTGGCTCGTGCACGGACCAGCCAAAGTCGGCGATCTTCAGGACGCCCTTGTGGCCCAGCAGCAAGTTCTCCGGCTTAATATCCCTGTGGATGATGTCCCGCTCATGCAGATAGAGCAGCGCCGAGCACAACGCCTGAATATAGGTTGCCGACTGGCGCTCATCGAAACGCTTCATCGGCTGTGCCTGCAAGGCATTAAAGAGCGTTCCTTGTGGGGCATACTCCAAGATCAGATATATGCGCACGTCGTCGTGAAAGTAGGCGTACAGACGTAGGATATGCGGATGACGCAGGTGCGATTGTATCTCGATCTCCCGGCGCACCTGGTGCTCCACATTGGACTCGCCAATCTGACGCTTGAACAGCACTTTAAGGGCCACCACAAACTGCGATTCCTTTTCGCGCGCCAAGTAAACGTTGCCAAACTTGCCGCGCCCCAGCAGGCGACCAATATCAAAGTTGTTAAGCTCCCATGTCTTCTTGGGCTTCTGTGGCTGTGTTTCTGCAGAAGATTACAACAAAGTTGGTATGCGCGAAATATTATAGCTGATTCAGTTACCCACCAGTCTTGGTTTTCTCTTTGTCTGTGGTGCTGCTGGCCGCACCAGGTTCCTTTGAGGATTCTGAGCCCGCAACAGCGGTTTTCAGCTTGGAAAGGGATTCGGGCTTCTTGATGGGTGCTACTGGAGCTGGAGCAACAAACTCTGATGTGGCCTTTTTCACGGACGGCACCAGGGGTTTCTGGAAGTTGCTTCCTTCGGAGGAACCTATGGGATTGGAGGCTCCTGGCACTGGCTTAGTGGCTGGACGCACGGTGGTCGCCGCACTCCTAATCACAGCGCCAGTAGATCCTGGCAAGGGTTTGTTGGATGGGGCCACGTTCTCGCTGTTGGGCTACATCACAATGGAACCAATTCAGAATTTCAGCTGCACGCCACAGATTTCCTCCTTACCATCTTTCCCAATAGCAAGTTCTTCTGCATATTATGCACGGCAGCGGATTTTTCCGGCAGTCTGACCGGAGCATTTTCCTTGGGGCGCAGCACATGGTCAGACGGATGGGACATGGCGGCACAGGCACTCAACAACTAACAGAACTGATTGAAATTTGGGTCAGATAGCAATGGAAGTTGATATTGGGTAAAACATTCACGACTCCCGGAATCCTGAGAAAATAAAATGCCGTTCGTTTGAATTGTGAAGCGGGTGTGTGCGTGATGTGGAGAATGGCAAGTGTGCGATAGTATCGGTTGGTGGAAAACTATCGAGACTTTTCAGTGCTGCAAGGCAGTCATACATATGAATATGTGTTAGCATTTAATGTTGAAATCAAGAGCATTATTTAATTAGCCCAAATACTTTGGCATTTAAACCTTATATTGAACCACCAAAATTTTAAAACCTAAGTAATCCGTCACACTTTATTTTGATTAATCGGAAGATTGACTATCGGAAAAGATTTACAAATATATATGTATATATCTCAATTCGAATTAAAAAAAACGGTGACCGTGAGCCGTAACAGCTGTGATTTAGCGGGCATCTCTAAAAATCAGCTGTTGTCAACAAACAACTTTTCTTCTGGAATTCCTCGCTTATGATATGATATATGATGCCAAATTATGGAAACAGAGGAGATTCACGTAAATATAAACAACCAGACTTGCCGCGTCTGCCTGGAGACCCACGAGACCAATCTGTACCTCAACGATCAGATCGAATACAACGACCTAAAGCTGGAGCTCTGGCAGTTTTTGGAAGCCGTTTCCAAATTAAAGGTAAATAACATCAATTTCAAGAATTTTAAAAAAATCAGTTCATTATTTTGAAGTGGACATGGACAGACCCAAATCTACCAATGCATTTGTGCCAAAATTGCGCCCGCCGGCTGATCAGCGCGTACGAGTTTATCGTCGAAGTGGAGAACGCCCATGAAACTTTAAAGAATCTCTTCGAGCAACAGGAGGTGGCTGTCAAGCCGGATGAAGTTCATGTGGATGTTGTGGAGCTTATTGATCAGGAGGACGTGGTTGATATGGAAGAATATCTGCCCACATCTTTTGCGGAGCAGCACGTGGAAATGGAGGAGAAGTATGGAGACCAAGACTGTCCAGCATTTCATTCAGATGTAGGTGAAGAGCCACGGTATGCGAACGAGGATCATGATGATGATCCTGAAGATCCTACTCAGCTTAACGGTCTGCCAGATGAACCAGAAAACAAAGAATTGTCGCGACCTTCCCAGCTGGGCAGTCGTTTGAACCATTCTGCGAACTTCATCTACAAATGCGCCGTCTGTCCGCGTGTCTTTGCCAAGAGTGAATCTCTGACCCGGCATTTTTCCCAAGCCCATAGCCTGACGGCGGACGTGGCCGCTATGAAGCTGGCCACCGAGAGCTGTGGCACCGGTCTGCTGACCTGTGAGCACTGCCCGCGGACATTCAAGCGTCAGGACACCCTCCGGCGACACATGCAGGCATTCCATCCCGACGCAGTCGCATTGGAAACCGAAGAAGCGACGGAAAACTCCGGCCGGAAACGCATAACTAAGCGGCGAGACTGTCCGCACTGTGGCCTGAGCTTTCCCGTGTCTAGCCTTACCATCCACATTCGGCGACATACGGGCGACAATCCGTACAAGTGCGATCAGTGCGAGAAAGCATTTCCGCGCAGCCAAGATCTCAGTCTTCACATGCGTCGGCACACCGGGGAGCGTCCCAGTGAGTGCAAGATCTGCTCCAAGAAGTTCATTTCGCAAAACAAGCTGGCCCGGCACATGCGTTTGCACACGGGCCAAAGGCCGTACTCCTGCGAGCTGTGCAGCAAGAGCTTTGTGCAATCCAACGACCTGAAGATCCATATGCGACGCCACACGGGCGAGCGACCGTATCAGTGCGGAGTGTGCGGGGAGAGCTTCGTCTGTGGCTCACACCTGAATATCCACCGTAACCGAAAGGGGCATCTGGCTGCTGTGATTCCGGGCAATGAAGTCGAGGCAGATATAGCTGCTGATCCTTATGTAAATGCTAGGGTCAACAAGCGGCGTTCGCAGGATATTGAGCGTATGCGGCTGAAACGCATTCCCGAGGACCAACTGCAGCAGCAACTGGAAGGGCTCCCCAATCCGGATGTCTCTGCTATGGCCTACAACTGCGGTGTCTGCGAACAGAAATTCAAGAGCGGAGCTCTCCTGACCGTCCATCGCAATAAAATGAGTCATTATGAGATCGAAAGGGTCTACGAAGATCCCTTCGGAAATAATCAGAAAATTCTCAAAGCTGAATATATTTAATCAAGTATTTCAAGCTAAGATCTAGCGCTCACATTCTCCAAAACATTTTTTTACTTTTTTTTTTAAAGAAGGTTCCTAGTATTTCTTGAGCAATATAATATAGAATGTAGAACGAACCCAGTTTAATTTACATGGTTCACCAAACAGCGAGCCGTTTGTGCACCAATATTAAAGTAGATAGATAAGTATCTTAGGCTTTAAAAAGTCTACAATACATCAAACGAAATACAAGTTTGATTTTTTTAAATTTTAAAATAATTTAATTTTTCTATAAACAATAACATTTTTGCTAACTAAAATTCGGACATTAAGATAATACTATTGTTTTCCTATGGAATATTCGATGCAAACATTCTTTTCAGTCTCAAAAACTTAAACTTAGAATTAACCCATTGATGAACAAATATTCGTCTCTTTGGCCTTAGTCGACCTCCTCGACCGTGGGTCCAGAGTAGCCTCCAAATCCTCCTGCCTGCTGGCCGCAATTAGCTCCCGGACCACCAGCTCCCGCTCCCGCTCCCTGCTGATGCATCTTGGTCATGATGGGGGAGCAGTGGCGGGTGAGCTCCTCCAGCTTGTGGTCAAACTCCTCTTTCTCGGCAGTGGTGTTGCTGTCCAGCCACCGGATAGTGTCGTTGCACTTGTCCAGGACAGAGTTCTTGTCGGCCTCGTCCAGTTTGCCAGCGGGTGCCTGCTCCACGGACTGCTTCACATTGAAGACGTAGCTCTCCAGGGCATTTCGAGAGGTAACCCGCTGGCGCTGCTTCTCGTCCTCGTCGGCATACTTCTCAGCCTCGTTCACCATGCGATCAATCTCGGCCTGCGAGAGGCGTCCCTTGTCGTTCTTGATCGTGATGTTCTTAGCCTTGCCCGTGCTCATCTCCTTCGCACTGACGTTCAGGATTCCATTGGCGTCCAAGTCGAAGGTGACTTCTATCTGGGGCACACCCCTTGGTGCAGGTGGAATGCCGGACAGATCGAAGGTGCCCAGTGCATTGTTGTCCTTCGTCATCGCACGTTCGCCCTCATACACCTGGATGGAGACGCCGGGCTGATTGTCAGAGTACGTGGAGAACGTCTTGGTCTGTTTGCACGGTATGCGGCAGTTGCGCTCGATCAGCTTGGTCATCACACCGCCAGCGGTCTCAATTCCCAATGAGAGTGGGGCTACGTCCACCAACAGCACGTCCTGAATCTTGCCGCTCTGGTCTCCGCTGAGGATAGCGGCCTGTACAGCGGCTCCGTATGCCACTGCCTCGTCTGGGTTGATGGATAGGTTGAGATTCTTGCCGTGGAAGAACTGCTGCAGCAGGCTCTGCACCTTGGGAATGCGCGTTGATCCACCGACTAGCACGATGTCATGGATCTGACCCTTGTCCATCCTGGCATCGGTGAGGGCCTTCTCCACAGGCAGCAGGGTGTTGCGGAATAGGTCCGCGCATAGCTCCTCGAACCTGGCACGGCTCACTTTAGTGTAGAAGTCGTGGCCCTCAAACAATGCGTCGATTTCGATGGTGGCCTCAGTGCTGGAGGAGAGCGTGCGCTTGGCCCGTTCAGCCGCTGTTCTGAGGCGTCGTAGGGCGCGAGGGTTTGAGCGCAGATCCTTCTTGTACTTGCGCTTGAACTCCTCCGCCAGGTGGGTGACTAGACGGTTGTCAAAGTCTTCGCCGCCCAAGTGCGTGTCTCCGGCGGTGGAGCGCACTTCGAACAGTGATCCCTCGTCGATGGTCAGGATGGAGACATCGAAGGTGCCGCCACCCAAGTCGAAGATGAGCACATTGCGCTCACCCTTGAGGTTCTTGTCAAGTCCGTAGGCCAGTGCCGCCGCCGTGGGCTCGTTGATGATGCGGAGCACATTCAGGCCGGCAATGTGACCGGCGTCTTTGGTGGCCTGACGCTGGGAGTCGTTGAAGTACGCTGGAACAGTGATGACTGCATCTGTGATGCTATCGCCCAGATAAGCCTCCGCGGTCTCCTTCATTTTGGCCAGTACCATTGAGCTGATCTCCTCGGGAGCAAATCTCTTGGACTCGCCCTTAAACTCCACCCCGATCTTGGGCTTACCGCCGTCGCTAACCACCTTGAAAGGCCAGTGCTTCATGTCCTCTGCGATCTTTGGGTCGTCGTATTTACGGCCGATGAGGCGCTTGGCGTCGAACACCGTGTTCCTCGGATTCATGGCCACCTGGTTCTTGGCCGGATCGCCGATGAGGCGTTCAGAATCTGTGAAAGCCACGTAGGACGGCGTGGTGCGGTTGCCCTGGTCGTTGGCGATAATCTCCACCTTGCCATGTTGGTAGACACCCACGCAGGAGTAGGTGGTGCCAAGATCGATTCCAATAGCAGGCATTGTGTGTGAGTTCTTCTTCCTCGGTAACGGCTTTTTGGAAATATTCAGCTTTCTTTTCTTGTCTTTAATAATAACTTCTTGGCAGTAGTTGTTATACTTGATTGCTAGTTTATTTTACTTAATTCAACTTGCACTTCACTGCAGTTTGTTTAGCTTGTTCAGCTGCGCTTATTTGGTTGCTTAGCGTTCGCTCAGCGATGTGTTCACTTTGCTTCTTTGAATTGAAGTGAGGCTAAAAGAAACAAGCAGCGGTATTTATACACCCGGCGCTCCTTTCGAGAACATTCGAATCGTACTCTCTCGAAGCAACGAGAACAGTATGCTGTTTAGTATGTGCCAGAATGAAATAGCAATAGTGTCTGGGAGGGGAGGCGTGCTCTCGAAGCAACGAGAACAGTATGCTGTTTAGTATGTGCCAGAGTGAAATAGCAATAGTGTATGGGAGAGAGAGGCGCAAATTTAAGAGCGAATAACGAGGAGAAATTTCCTACCTTATGACCTACCACAACAACTAGATTCTCTTTCGGATTCTGGAATATTCGCACTATTTTGGAAATTTCTGTATAATAACGGCAGCATGAAAAACTAATTTTAATAATATTCGCTGCT